TACTGGCCTCAGTGACTCACCAGTCAGCAGCTGTGTTTACTGGCCTCAGTGACTCACCAGTCAGCAGCTGTGTTTACTGCCTCAGTGACTCACCAGTCAGCAGCTGTTTTGCTGGCCTCAGTGACTCACCAGTCAGCAGCTGTGTTTACTGGCCTCAGTGACTCACCAGTCAGCAGCTGTGTTTACTGGCCTCAGTGACTACCAGTTCAGCAGCTGTGTTTACTGGCCTCAGTGACTCACCAGTCAGCAGCTGTGTTTACTGGCCTCAGTGACTCACCAGTAAGCAGCTGTGTTTCTGGCCCAGTGACTCACCAGTCAGCAGCAGTGTTTACTGGCCTCAGTGACTCACCAGTCAGCAGCTATGTTTACTGGCCTCAGTGACTCACCAGTCAGCAGCTGTGTTTACTGGCCTCAGTGACTCACCAGTCAGCAGCTGTGTTTACTGGCCTCAGTGACTTACCAGTCAGCAGCTGTGTTTGCCGGCCTCAGTGACTCACCAGTCAGCAGCTGTGTTTACTGGCCTCAGTGACTCACCAGTCAGCAGCTGTGTTTACTGGCCTCAGTGACTCACCAGTCAGCTGCAGTGTTTACTGGCCTCAGTGACTCACCAGTCAGCAGCTGTGTTTACTGGCCTCAGTGACTCACCAGTCAGCAGCTGTGTTTACTGGCCTCAGTGACTCACCAGTCAGCAGCAGTGTTTACTGGCATCAGTGACTCACCAGTCAGCAGCAGTGTTTACTGGCCTCAGTGACTCACCAGTCAGCAGCAGTGTTTACTGGCCTCAGTGACTCACCAGTCAGCAGCTGTGTTTACTGGCCTCAGTGACTCACCAGTCACAGCTGTTTACTGGCCTCAGTGACTCACCAGTCAGCAGCAGTGTTTACTGGCCTCAGTGACTCACCAGTCAGCTGCAGTGTTTACTGGCCTCAGTGACTCACCAGTGAGCAGCTGTTTTACTGGCCTCAGTGCTCACCAGTCAGCAGCTGTGTTTACTGGCCTCAGTGACTCACCAGTCAGCAGCAGTGTTTACTGGCATCAGTGACTCACCAGTCAGCAGCAGTGTTTACTGGCCTCAGTGACTCACCAGTCAGCAGCAGTGTTTACTGGCCTCAGTGACTCACCAGTCAGCAGCTGTGTTTACTGGCCTCAGTGGCTCACCAGTCAGCAGCAGTGTTTACTGGCCTCAGTGACTCACCAGTCAGCAGCAGTGTTTACTGGCCTCAGTGACTCACCAGTCAGCAGCAGTGTTTACTGGCCTCAGTGACTCACCAGTCAGCAGCAGTGTTTACTGGCCTCAGTGCTCACCAGTCAGCATCAGTGTTTACTGCCTCAGTGACTCACCAGTCAGCAGCAGTGTTTACTGGCCTCAGTGGCTCACCAGTCAGCAGCAGTGTTTACTGGCCTCAGTGACTCACCAGTCAGCAGCAGTGTTTACTGGCCTCAGTGGCTCACCAGTCAGCAGCAGTGTTTACTGGCCTCAGTGACTACCAGTCAGCAGCAGTGTTTACTGGCCTCAGTGCTTACCAGTCAGCAGCAGTGTTTACTGGCCTCAGTGACTCACCAGTCAGCAGCAGTGTTTACTGGCCTCAGTGACTTACCAGTCTGCAGCTGTGTTTACTGGCCTCAGTGACTCACCAGTCAGCAGCAGTGTTTACTGGCCTCATGACTCACCAGTCAGCAGCAGTGTTTACTGGCCTCAGTGACTCACCATCAGCAGCAGTGTTTACTGGCCTCAGTGATTCACCAGTCAGCAGCAGTGTTTACTGGCCTCAGTGACTTCACCAGTCAGCAGCAGTGTTTACTGGCCTCAGTGACTCACCAGTCAGCAGCATGTTTACTGGCCTCAGTGACTCACCAGTCAGCAGCAGTGTTTACTGGCCTCAGTGACTTACCAGTCAGCAGCATGTGTTTACTGGCCTCAGTGACTCAACCAGTCAGCAGCAGTGTTTACTGGCCTCAGTGACTCACCAGTCAGCAGCAGTGTTTACTGGCCTCAGTGCTCACCACTCAGCAGTCTGTTTACTGGCCTCAGTGACTCACCAGTCAGCAGCCTGTTTACTGGCCTCAGTGACTCACCAGTCAGCAGCTGTGTTTACTGGCCTCAGTGACTCACCAGTCAGCAGCAGTGTTTACTGGCCTCAGTGGCTCACCAGTCAGCAGCAGTGTTTACTGGCCTCAGTGACTCACCAGTCAGCAGCAGTGCTTACTGGCCTCAGTGACTCAACAGTCAGCAGCAGTGTTTACTGGCCTCAGTGACTCACCAGTCAGCAGCAGTGTTTACTGGCCTCAGTGACTCACCAGTCAGCAGCATGTGTTTACTGGCCTCAGTGGACTCACCAGTCAGCAGCTCTGTTTACTGGCCTCAGTGACTCACCAGTCAGCAGCAGTGTTTACTGGCCTCAGTGACTCACCAGTCAGCAGCAGTGTTTACTGGCCTCAGTGGCTCACCAGTCAGCAGCAGTGTTTACTGGCCTCAGTGACTCACCAGTCAGCAGCAGTGTTTACTGGCCTCAGTGACTCACCAGTCAGCAGCAGTGTTTACTGGCCTCAGTGACTCACCAGTCAGCAGCAGTGTTTACTGGCCTCAGTGGCTCACCAGTCAGCAGCAGTGTTTACTGGCCTCAGTGACTCACCAGTCAGCAGCAGTGTTTACTGGCCTCAGTGACTCACCAGTCAGCAGCAGTGTTTACTGGCCTCAGTGACTCACCAGTCAGCAGCAGTGTTTACTGGCCTCAGTGCTCACCAGTCAGCAGCAGTGTTTACTGGCCTCAGTGACTCACCAGTCAGCAGCAGTGTTTACTGGCCTCAGTGACTCACCAGTCAGCAGCAGTGTTTACTGGCCTCAGTGACTCACCAGTCAGCAGCAGTGTTTACTGGCCTCAGTGACTCACCAGTCAGCAGCAGTGTTTACTGGCCTCAGTGACTCACCAGTCAGCAGCAGTGTTTACTGGCCTCAGTGACTCACCAGTCAGCAGCAGTGTTTACTGGCCTCAGTGACTCACCAGTCAGCAGCATGTTTACTGGCCTCAGTGACTCACCAGTCAGCAGCAGTGTTTACTGGCCTCAGTGACTCACCAGTCAGCAGCAGTGTTTACTGGCCTCAGTGACTCACCAGTCAGCAGCAGTGTTTACTGGCCTCAGTGGACTCACCAGTCAGCAGCTGTGTTTACTGCGTCAGTGACTCACCTGTCAGCAGCAGTGTTTACTGGCCTCAGTGACTCACCAGTCAGCAGCAGTGTTTACTGGCCTCAGTGACTCACCAGTCAGCAGCAGTGTTTACTGGCTTCAGTGACTCACCAGTCAGCAGCTGTGTTTACTGGCCTCAGTGACTCACCAGTCAGCAGCAGTGTTTACTGGCCTCAGTGACTCACCAGTCAGCAGCAGTGTTTACTGGCCTCAGTGACTCACCAGTCAGCAGCTGTGTTTACTGGCCTCAGTGACTCACCAGTCAGCAGCTGTGTTTACTGGCCTCAGTGACTCACCAGTCAGCAGCAGTGTTTACTGGCCTCAGTGGCTCACCAGTCAGCAGCAGTGTTTACTGGCCTCAGTGACTCACCAGTCAGCAGCAGTGTTTACTGGCCTCAGTGACTCACCAGTCAGCAGCTGTGTTTACTGGCCTCAGTGACTCACCATTCAGCAGCTGTGTTTACTGGCCTCAGTGACTCACCAGTCAGCAGCAGTGTTTACTGGCCTCAGTGACTGACCAGTCAGCAGCTGTGTTTACTGGCCTCAGTGACTCACCAGTCAGCAGCAGTGTTTACTGGCCTCAGTAACTCACCAGTCAGCAGCAGTGTTTACTGGCCTCAGTGGCTCACCAGTCAGCAGCTGTGTTTACTGGCCTCAGTGACTCACCAGTCAGCAGCTGTGTTTACTGGCCTCAGTGACTCACCAGTCAGCAGCAGTGTTTACTGGCCTCAGTGACTCACCAGTCAGCAGCTGTGTTTACTGGCCTCAGTGACTCACCAGTCAGCAGCAGTGTTTACTGGCCTCAGTGGCTTACCAGTCAGTAGCAGTGTTTACTGGCCTCAGTGACTCACCAGTCAGCAGCTGTGTTTACTGGCCTCAGTGACTCACCAGTCAGCAGCAGTGTTTACTGGCCTCAGTGACTCACCAGTCAGCAGCAGTGTTTACTGGCCTCAGTGACTCACCAGTCAGCAGCAGTGTTTACTGGCCTCAGTAACTCACCAGTCAGCAGCAGTGTTTACTGGCCTCAGTGGCTCACCAGTCAGCAGCAGTGTTTACTGGCCTCAGTGACTCACCAGTCAGCAGCAGTGTTTACTGGCCTCAGTGACTCACCAGTCAGCAGCAGTGTTTACTGGCCTCAGTGACTCACCAGTCAGCAGCTGTGTTTACTGGCCTCAGTGACTCACCAGTCAGCAGCAGTGTTTACTGGCCTCAGTGACTCACCAGTCAGCAGCTGTGTTTACTGGCCTCAGTGACTCACCAGTCAGCAGCAGTGTTTACTGGCCTCAGTGACTCACCAGTCAGCAGCAGTGTTTACTGGCCTCAGTGACTCACCAGTCAGCAGCTGTGTTTACTGGCCTCAGTGACTCACCAGTCAGCAGCTGTGTTTACTGGCCTCAGTGACTCACCAGTCAGCAGCAGTGTTTACTGGCCTCAGTGACTCACCAGTCAGCAGCTGTGTTTACTGGCCTCAGTGACTCACCAGTCAGCAGCAGTGTTTAACTGGCCTCAGTGACTCACCAGTCAGCAGCTGTGTTTACTGGCCTCAGTGACTCACCAGTCAGCAGCAGTGTTTACTGGCCTCAGTGGCTCACCAGTCAGCAGCAGTGTTTACTGGCCTCAGTGACTCACCAGTCAGCAGCAGTGTTTACTGGCCTCAGTGACTCACCAGTCAGCAGCAGTGTTTACTGGCCTCAGTGACTCACCAGTCAGCAGCTGTGTTTACTGGCCTCAGTGACTCACCAGTCAGCAGCAGTGTTTACTGGCCTCAGTGACTCACCAGTCAGCAGCAGTGTTTACTGGCCTCAGTGACTCACCAGTCAGCAGCAGTGTTTACTGGCCTCCTCACACCACATCTGCAAATAAAAACGAAAATTTATTGTAATATACGGTGTACTGCGTTCATTTTTTGTCAAGTTTTGAACTATTGTGTTATATGGAACAGCAGTGAGAGAGAAATTACTGATGATAACTGGAGAGGAGACGGAGAGTAATTAAGGAACTATGAACACGTGGCAAGAAGTGTCTACTAGAGTTCACGTGGCTAGGAAAGTGTCTACTAGAGTTCACGTGACTAGGAAAGTGTCTGCTAGAGTTCCCGTGGCTAGGAAAGTGTCTACTAGAGTTCACGTGGCTAGGAAAGTGTCTGCTAGAGTTCCCGTGGCTAGGAAAGTGTCTACTAGAGTTCACGTGGCTAGGAAAGTGTCTACTAGAGTTCACGTGGCTAGGAAAGTGTCTTCTAGAGTTCACGTGGCTAGGAAAGTGTCTACTAGAGTTCACGTGGCTAGGAAAGTGTCTACTAGAGTTCACGTGGCTAGGAAAGTGTCTACTAGAGTTCACTGGTAGAAGTGTACTAGAGTCACGTGTAGAAGTGTCTACTAGATTTCACGTGGCTAGGAAAGTGTCTGCTAGAGTTCACGTGGCTAGGAAAGTGTCTACTAGATTTCACGTGGCTAGGAAAGTGTCTACTAGAGTTCACGTGGCTAGGAAAGTGTCTACTAGAGTTCACATGGCTAGGAAAGTGTCTGCTAGAGTTCACGTGGCTAGGAAAGTGTCTGCTAGAGTTCACGTGGCTAGGAAAGTGTCTACTAGAGTTCACGTGGTTAGGAAAGTGTCTACTAGATTTCACGTTGCTAGGAAAATGTCTTTTAGAGTTCACGTGGCTAGGAAAGTGTCTGCTAGGGTTCAGTCCTTACAAGCGAGAGGAGTAAGAAGACAGAATACAGAGTATACCCTGAGACAACATGCACAGAGAAAGATCTGGGAGTCAGCATCACTCCAAGGACATCAACAGAGATATCATCAGTCATGTGGCTTATGCAGTGTATGCAAACTAAGAGTATCCAAAACCTTCAGGAACACGTACAAATGTTATATCCAGTAAATTATATGTAATTTATATTCTGCTTACCTTGAAATATGTTACAACAGCATGGAACCCGCATCTTAACAAGCATATGAAGAGATTCAAGAGGATCCAAAACTTTAAAGGATAGGTCCTGGAACTGAGAGGAACAGATGAGATGAGAGGCTTAAGGAACTGAACCTCACAAGAAGAGTACAAAATGTCCAGATGACTAAATAAATGGATAAAGACAAGCTGTTGGAGATGTGAGGAGATGGAGCCAAGGAGACACACACATGGAAGCTAAGGTCGCAGAAGAGCCGTCAAGACGTTAAGAACTATTTATTTTTCTGTTTTAATGTGGTAAGTGGAACACGCTGGATGAAGAATTGGTAGAGGAAAACGCCATTCATTGCTTTCAAAATACTGAGCGAGCATATAGCCCCATTGTAGAGCCCCCTTTTTCCTGGTAAAGTACGTATGGGAAACTCGAGGAGAAAAAAAGATTTGCAATTAGATTAGTCCCGGGAATGTGAGAAATGCACTACTGGGAGAGGACCTGATGACCTTGGTGGAGAGAACTGTGGGAGTCATGATTACAATATAAAAGTTTAAAGAAATATTGATAGGACAGATAAAGATAGACTGAACAAAATGGATCAGAGAGCAATTATAAGGACACTGGTGTATGTATGTATATATATATATATATATATATATATTATATATATATATATATATATATATAATATATATATATATATATATATATATATATATATATATAGGATGGGGTCCACCTCTGGTGTAAATTTTCGTCTTACTTGTTAAAGCTGTGAGTATAAAGCTGTATTTCTGAGAGTAACAGAACTTAAAATACGAGAGACAGGGATGGATAGACTTCTGTCACTCTCAAAGAAGAGACATGATTTATAAAAGTGACTCATAGACGGGAAGAACAGGTGTCAGTGACATGTAGTGATCAAACAGGTGTCAGTGACATGTAGTGATCAAACAGGTGTCAGTGACATGTAGTGATCAAACAGGTGTCAGTGACATGTAGTGATCAAACAGGTGTCAGTGACATGTAGTGATCAAACAGGTGTCAGTGACATGTAGTGATCAAACAGGTGTCAGTGACATGTAGTGATCAAACAGGTGTCAGTGACATGTAGTGATCAAACAGGTGTCAGTGACATGTAGTGATCAAACAGGTTTAACAACACCTAGATGATAAAACAAAGAGGAAGAGAGGAAGCACTAAGATGGCTGAGAGAGACGAGGGGAGTACCTCAAGTGTCAGTGTAAGTACCACTACTGTTTCTAATTAACGAAAATGATCTGTCACCAGCACTACACATCATGGGTTCACCAGCACTACACATCATGGGTTCACCAGCACTACACATCATGGGTTCACCAGCATATACACATCATGGGTTCACCAGCACTACACATCATGGGTTCACCAGCACTACATATCATGGGTTCACCAGCACTACATATCATGGGTTCACCAGCACTACATATCATGGGTTCACCAGCACTACACATCATGGGTTCACCAGCACTACACATCATGGGTTCACCAGCACTACACATCATGGGTTCACCAGCACTACACATCATGGGTTCACCAACACTACACATCATGGGTTCACCAGCACTACACATCATGGGTTCACCAGCACTACACATCATGGGTTCACCAGCACTACACATCATGGGTTCACCAACACTACACATCATGGGTTCACCAGCACTACACATCATGGGTTCACCAACACTACACATCATGGGTTCACCAGCACTACACATCATGGGTTCACCAGCACTACACATCAGGGGTTCACCAGCACTACACATCATGTGTTCAGCACTACACATCATGGGTTCACCAGCACTACACATCATGGGTTCTCCAGCACTACACATCATGGGTTCTCCAGCACTACACATCATGGGCTCACCAGCACTAAACATCATGGGTTCTCCAGCATCACACATAATGGGTCAATCAGCAGTACACATCATGGGTTTACCAGCATCAATGTTTGCTATTAATAAATTAACAACAGAAATAGTTCGAGGTTCACTTCCTATCAACTGCTTTTATAAGACATTTCAGCAGCGGTGACAGCAGTAACGTTATACTGGAGGACTTACTGGAGCTGTGTGGTTGGAAGGTGGTGTTACTGGAGCTGTCTTGTCGGAAGGGGGGTTTTTAGTGGGGCTGTGTGGTTGGAAGAGGGTTTTACTGGGGCTGTCGGGTTGGAACGTGGTGTCAGTGGAGATGTCTGGTTGGAAGGTGGTGTAGTAGGGCCGTGTGATTGGCAGGGGGCCTTAGTGAGGCTGTCTGGTTGGAAGAGGGTCTTAGTGGGGCTGTCTGGTTGGAAGGGGTCTTAGTGGGGCTGTCTGTTGGAAGGGGTCTTAGTGGGCTGTCTGGTTGGAAGGGGGCCTTAGTGGGCTGTCTGGTTGGAAGGGGGTCTTAGTGGGGCTAGTCTGGTTGGAAGGGGTCTTAGTGGGGCTGTCTGGTTGGAAGGGGTCTTAGTGGGGCTGTCTAGTTGGAAGGGGGCCTTAGTGGGGCTGTCTGGTTGGAAGGGGACCTTAGTGGGGCTGTCTGGTTGGAAGGGGCCTTAGTGGGGCTGTCTGGTTGGAAGGGGGTCTTAGTGGGGCTGTCTGGTTGGAAGGGGGCCTTAGTGGGGCTGTCTGGTTGGAAGGGGTCTTAGTGGGGCTGTCTGGTTGGAAGGGGGCCTTAGTGGGGCTGTCTGGTTGGAAGGGGTCTTAGTGGGGCTGTCTGGTTGGAAGGGGGTCTTAGTGGGCTGTCTGGTTGGAAGGGGGCCTTAGTGGGGCTGTCTGGATGGAAGGGGCCTTAGTGGGGCTGTCTGGTTGGAAGGGGGTCTTAGTGGGCTGTCTGTTGGAAGGGGGCCTTAGTGGGGCTGTCTGGTTGGAAGGGGGTCTTAGTGGGGCTGTCTGGTTGGAAGGGGGTCTTAATAGGGCTGTCTGGTTGGAAGGGGGTCTTAGTGGGGCTGTCTGGTTGGAAGGGGGTCTTAGTGGGGCTGTCTGGTGGAAGTGGTGTTTAGTGGGGCTGTCTGGTTGGGAGGTGGTGTTAGTGGAGCTGTCTGGTTGGAAGGGGGTCTTAGTGGGGCTGTGTGGTTGGAAGGGGTCTTAGTGGGGCTGTCGGTTGGAAGAGGGTTTAAGTGGGGCTGTCTAGTTGGAAGGTGTTAGTGGGGCTGTCTGGTTGGAAGGTGTTAGTGGGGCTGTCTGGTAGGAAGGTGGTCTTAGTGGGTAAGTCTGGTTGGAAGGTGGTCTTAGTGGGGCTATCTGGTTGGAAGGTGTTGTTAGTAAGGCTGTCTGGTTGGAAGGTGTTAGTGGGGCTGTCTGGTTGGAAGGGGTCTTAGAGGGGCTGTCCGGTTGGAAGGTGGTGTTAGTGGGGCTGTCTGGTTGGAAGGTGGTCTTAGTGGGGTTGTCTGGTTGGAAGAGGGTCTTAGTGGGGCTGTGTGGTTGGAAGGTGTTAGTGGGGCTGTCTGGTTGGAAGGTGGTGTTAGTGGGGCTGTCTGGTGGGAAGGTGGTGTTAGTGGGGCTGTCTGGTTGGAAGGTGGTGTTAGTGGGGCTGTCTGGTTGGAAGGTGGTCTTAGTGGGGCAGTTTGGTTGGAAGGTGGTCTTAGTGGGGCAGTTTGGTTGGAAGGTGGTCTCAGTGGGTTGTCTGGTTGGAAGAGGGTCTTAGTGGGGCTGTGTGGTTGAAAGGTGTTAGTGGAGCTGTCTGCTTGGAAGGTGGTGTTAGTGAGGTTGTCTGGTTGGAAGGTGGTGTTAGGGGGGTTGTTGGTTGGAAGGTGGTGCTAAGGGGGTTGTCTGGTTGGAAGTTGTTGTTAGTGAGGTTGTCTGGTTGGAAGGTGGTGTTAGTGAGGTTGTCTGGTTGAAGGTGGTGTTACTGAGGCTGTCTGGTTGGAAGGTGGTGTTAGTGAGGTTGTCTGGTTGGAAGGTGGTGTTAGTGAGGTTGTCTGGTTGGAA